ATATATATATATATATATTTACTCACTGATTCCCTTAACCAATTTGGATATAATGTGAAGAGTCTCCATGTTCTCCAAGTCTTCGTTCATTTTAAATAGATCCATCAACTTTGGAAAGAAGTTTTGCTGCAAGATAGAAATATCAGAATTTGGTAATAGCACGCATCAAGCTTATCTAACCGGATGGGAATTTCAGAATAAATTCTTCAGGTATCAAACACAATTAAAAATATAAGCATCAATAGACAAAATAAAAGCAGGAACAAGTTCTGTATTCGATACAAGTTTCCCTTTAACAACAAACAATTCCATCTGATTACCTTTGTGATAGCATCCTCTATTAGGACTTCTAATGAACCAAGTTCTTGCAAGGATGGAACAGCAATATAGTTAAAGGTTTTTAAAACACAATTTCATTTGTCAGCTTCAAGCATCACACGAAATATTTAGCTTTAGTATTTCAACAATTTTAAAAGTTTCCCTCTTCAATTTAATTTATCCACTTTACTGAATTTTCTAAAATTAAAATATTTTTTATAACTTTAAATAGTACTATATATTTCAACAATAAAGTGACACGGGAGTTCCTAGCTGGGTCGAACCGTTTCTACTGGGGTTCAGCTGAGAGGAATATTAAGGCCAGCCGGCCCTAGAAAAGAAAGATGCCACCCAAATAGGAAGGGATCCCACCTCTCCTAGCTATCTACTAGTATTTATGTGTGTTTTTTTCTGATTTTAAGGTTCAAGTTTTTGCTCTGAGATTTCTGTCAAGACAACCTATGACGTCCATCTTCACTTTCTCGAGTTGTATCAGACAGTGAGAAGGTGCTCCAACTGTAACTCGTCTCAAAATGTATGCATCCTTCCTTTTATTGCTAGCCCCTCGTTCCTTTCATTTTTTAGCTTCAAGCATCACACGAAATATTTAGCTTTAGTATTTCAACAATTTTAAAAGTTTCCTTCTTCAATTTCATTTACCCAATTTACTGAATGTTATAAAAATATAATATTTTTGTATAATTTTAAATAATAATGTATTTTTCAACAATAAAGTGACACAGGGGGTTCTAGATGTTTTTCTAACTAGGTCGAACCAGTTCAGCTGAGGGCTAGGAGAGAAATTAGGGACTGGCAGCACAAAGAAAGAAAGTACCACCCAAATAAGAAGGGATCCCACCTCTCCCAGCTACCTACTAGTATTTATGTGTTTTCTGGTTTTAGGGTTCAGCCTTGTGCTTTGAGATTTCGGTCAAGACAGCCTCCAGCATCTATTTATCCTTTCTAGGGTTGTATGAAATGGCGAAAAGATGCTCTGGCTGTAAATCATCCCGAGATGGTGTGTATCATTCCTTCTACTGCTTGTTGCCACTCTTCCCTGATCGCTGCCATCCCCTCCTACACCCAAACCAGCTGCCGCCAACCTTCCAGCCATCGAACCTGCTGCTGCCAGCCCCCTCTCGCACCCAAACCTGTTGTCACCAACCTTCCAGCCACCCAAGCTGCTGCCACCAGCCCCTTCCTGCACCTGAACCTGCTGCCGCAAGCCTTCCAGCCACCCAATCTGCTGCTGCTAACCCCTCCAGCACCTGAACCTGCTTCCGCCAGCCTTCCAGCACCCAATTCTCCAAAACAGCTTTGTTAATATCCAATATGTTGGAGATTTCAAATCCCATCCTAACGTTATAGTTATGGTTTCATTAGTGAATACCAATTTTTGCCCAACAGCATGGGAAAAACAAAAAGTGGTAATGGCAACCAAAACTGACCGTTGATTGCAAATTATGCAAATCGCCACTACAAATACGAACAACATGCAAATCTCCACTACAAATACGAACAACATGCTACCATTGCAAATTATTTGACTGAAGTTACAATTTGTGCCAAAATATATTGCAGAAAAGCATAATGAATGGTAAGCATTTTGGCCCAAGACTTTGAGAATATTCCATCCAGCAAACAGAAATGCAATCATAAAAAAAAAAACAAAAACAAGAGATAAATTCACAGGCTGGTCGCATGACAAATCAACCAGATCATATATGTAGACGGCATTTGCCTCTAAAATATTTAATACGTTTGAGCTGAAATGTAAATGTTAATTAAAACAAAGGCTAGTACCCAGTGAAATTAATTTGAATCAATACAGTGGCAAAAGCTCTGTGACGATACAAAGAATTCCAATGAGTCAAACATCAGAAAACTAGCCAATCTGCAAATAAAAAACAGTGTGAAATCTATGAACCCTTAATTTAGCTAAGGAGCTAAACCCAACATTAATATTGATTTTATGTTAAAAAAAATCATTCAAAAAGGTTCACCATCAAAAAACTGATATTTTCCATACAAAGTAACCAAACACTCAACGCAGCAACCTACAACCCACTTGCACATGCCGAATTATAGCTGACATTCAAATCAAGATTTTTTTTTATAAAGCACAAAGAAATAAGTGAGTGATTTGGCAATTTGTTGTACTCCAGTCGAAATGATATAACAGCTGAAGTGGATCTAAAAAAATACGCTGTTAATAAATTAACTTAGCTTTATATTCATAAGCTACAAAAGGCTACATAAGTAAGATCCAGTAACTTACAGAAAAAATTAAACATAGAAAGGGGAAGTGATTGAAGGATCATACATCTTGGGAGATCAACTCAGTAACACGCAACTGATCAGTGATCCCACACTCAACCACTGCCTGTAGATAAAATACAATGTCCTCAAAATCAAAAAGCATCCAAGATGAAAAAAGCATGCAAAAATTACAACAAAAAAACAAAAGAAAATTAAACATTAAGTGCTTCTTAAAAAGGTATTTCAAGCATCATTCTCAAGCCAATCTGATCATTTTTCATCATGAAGCATAAATCCTCAAAAAACAGAGCATGCAGGAATATAATAGAAAATAATAACGTGACTGAATTGTTATATTGATGGGCTTTTAACACGTTAAGTTTCGCAAACCTGGTTTAGTCATTGTTTAGTGACATGAATACAATAAGCAATCTGATAGAAGAAAAAAACATGTTTAGCATAGATTATTATGCAATTTTATAATTTGCAAAAGTTGCCATACACCTTTTATATATGTCTGAATATTTGGAATACAAAACGCCAAAAAAGTATTAGTAATAATAATAATGATGATGATAATAATAATAATACTAATAATAATTGATTCATCCCTAGCCTAAGTTGATACAGGATAGGGGAGAGCAGAAGGCTTATGAAACTGGAAGGAAACTAAGGTTAAAGGAAATATGGCAATTTTTTGAAAAACCAAAGACTATCAATGAAATTAAAGGTAAAGGAGAGAACTACATTACAATGCAATGAAGCCAGTAGTTAGGGTTCACCCAGACATGCAAGCTACTTTTATAGCTACAAAATTAATATCACTGCACTTGCAAGTCGCTGCTTGTGGCTTCCACTCACATTGTCATGCACATTGTGCTCGTTATCAGTACTCGCGGCTCATTGCCACTTGAACCTCTAGAGTTGTGTCATTTTTGTTACAACAATGTGTTCATTCTCGTGTGGATGGCTCCCACGAGCTGTTGCTTGAAGCATCTAATTTGATCTCGAGTTTCATACTAATTGTTGCCTAGGCTTCAATATGTCATTGTTGTAGCACCAATTGAACGCAGCTCACTTTTGTTATCTCTAGCTCTCACATGTTTGTCTTTGGTGACTTTGATGGTGCCCAGCCTCTACTTTCCTTTGCGGGAGCCCATATTACATCTCACTTTCTAGAGCTTCTACAGCCCCTTTGTCAATGTTTCGTACCTTCATCCACAAGGCACCACCATGTGCTTCGTCTTTACCCAGTCCTCATCTTTGAATGATCTGATGATTAGCGATGGTTATCATACTTTATCACCTTAGTCTCCCTAAATATTAGTACTCAGCTTCCAGATCTTCTACTCCCAATTTTTCCCCTGCTGGCACTATTAAAGAGAAGGTTTCCTCGCAGTCAAAACCACATGCCAGTTTCTCATTATTAGGGATTAATGTTTAAGAATTCTATTAGGCACATACCAGCCATTATCTTACATGGTAAACACACTCCTTTTTCAAAAGCATTTTTTTATTGGAAACTCAATTTTCCTACATTTTAGTTAGAAAAATTTACTTTTGTTGTCTGAGCTTGAAGTCTATTCATACTTTCATTATGATCTTCGCCTAACAGTTAACTGCTCTGCGGACTTCTTAATAAACGTCACAAGCTTATAAACTACTTGAGAAGTAAATTACCCAAGATTTTTCTCAAAATCCATATTAAGCAAAAGACTTCCAAGGTTGTACGCCGGAATGATCTCCATACTATGATACTTCAAAGGAACCTCTATTACCTTTGTTTAGGTAATTTTCCCTCGACTAAAAGTCCAATACAACAATCAATCGATAGGAAACTCATTGGGTAAAATTTTGTGCAAACCAATGTAAATGGATGCAGCTACCACTAGGCTTTCTCAACCATTTGTACATATTGTGATTGACATTTTTGCCCCTTTAGCTCGATAAGAATAAACTAGCAGTTCCTCAAATGCTATTGGCAAAAAGTGAAATTAAAAGTTTGCCAACATATTGCAAGTCTTGAAAAAGGTTCATGCATTCCTATGTTGATTGTTTTGAGTCCTATCCAGAATTAAAGAAATTGTCCTTTAGGGTCCCTATAGTTAGGATTGGCTCTTCTGATCAAAATATGGACAAGCAAGATTTATTTGTAGTAAATACTCAAAATTAAATGGAGCCTTCCAATCTGTCGGGTGACTCCTGCCTAGAGCTATCATTTTTAGATGTTGAGACCTTTAGATACCTCAAGAGTGATGCCTAGGCTAGATCTATGTCAACCTATTGAAGGACCCTCTATGGCTTATACTAATTTTCTACATCTAATATTACAAATATATTTATCAATGTTATATTTGATGGTTTTGAAGTGGATGCTGTTGTTGATTCACACCAAGTTCAATCTCAAACTTCTATAAAAATTTATCTGATGAAATAAAGGGATTCAAATAGTCTTCCTCATTAAGACACCAATCAAAAAAAAATCTTCCCTCATTATCCCAAATTTATGAAATTCCAAGCTAAACATAAAAACTCTAATAAATTTAGCATTTCGGACATAGCATGTATCTAAATATCAGCATGTTTTCTTCTTTTAGTAAGACATTACTTGTTGAGCTTTTTAATATCTTAAAACTAAATTTATTTTTTTATTTTTATAATGGCAGTCCCATAAAGACATTAGTTCATGTAACCTTTTTACTCACTCGTTAGAAAACATTCATGCTTATGAAAAAAAATCCTTTGATGGCTAGAGTCGTAGAAGAAGCCATGAAGTGTTGATTGATATCGGCAATAGAGACAGATTAAGCAAAAGTGATCAACAAGAAAATTGTAGAGTTTTGCTAACGCATTGAGTTAGCAGCAACAACAGCAAGCCATTGTCCCACTACTTGGGGTCAGCTACATGAATCCTTTTCCTCTATTGAGTCATACTGAGTGTCATATTTTCATTTAATTTTAATAGATTAAGATTTTTTATGTAATATGTCCAAGTCATTTTAGGTCTGTCTCAACCTTTCTTAACATAAATCGAACCTAAAACATCTCCTCCTAATTGGATGATCAGATAATTGATGTTTAATATGACCAAACCATCTAAGAAGGCTCTCTCTAATCTTGTCTGTCAGTAGAGCTACACCAACCCTTTCTAGAATACAATCGTTTCGCATTTTGTCTCTAAGTGGTCAAGTCAATCATCCACCTAAGCATTCTAATCTCAACAACACTTAACTTTGTTTCATGCTTCTCTTTCAAAAGCCAACATTCTACGACATAAAATATTACGAGTCTCACCACCATCTTATAAAATTTTCCTATTTTTCTATCACATCATAGGCCCGATGCATTCCTCCAATTCAACCAAACAGTCTGTTCTACTAAAAACATTGTCATCTATATCACCATCACTTTGAATAATAGGCTCGAGATATTTAAAATGTTCACACCTTCTAATGATTTGATCACCCATAGTTAGAACTCCGTCTCTAGAGCTACTACTACTAATATTACATTCCATAAATTCAATTTTAAATCTACTAGAATGAAGGACTTTAGACTCCAATGTAGACCTCCATAATTCAAGTTCTTCCTGAATTCTTTCTCTAGTCTTATCCACAAGAAGGACATCATCAGTGAAAAGCATACAACAAGGTACATCCTCCTGTAAATGTCTGGTAAGAGCATCCAAAACTAAAGCAAAACAATATGGACTTAAAGTCAATCCCTAATGCAATCTAACTGAATAGGAAAATACAATCAATCCTCCTTCCGTTCGAACTCAAATAACAGCTCTAGTATTCATCTTTTTAATGACTAAAATATAAATCATAACAACAGCTTTCTTTTCTAGAACTCTCAAAAGAACTTCTTTTGGAACCTTATCGTAAGCTATTTCTAAATAAATAAAAATTATAAGTACAACCTCCTTACTCTCTATGTACTTCTCCATAAAACTTCTCAATAAATGTATACCTTCCATTGTAGACTTGCCCGACATAAATCCAAACTGATTATTAGAAATCTTTGTATCATGTCTTAACCTATGTTCAACTATTCTCTCCCATAAATTTAAAGTATGACGCATTAACTTAATTCCTTTATAATTTGCACACACTTGTGCTTCCCTTTTATTCTTAAAAAGGACCAAAATACTCTTCCTTCACTTCTCGAGCTTCTTTTTAGTTTTTAAAGTAATATTAAAGAGTTGAGTAAGCCAAGAAACTCTCAAATATTCAACATATTTCCACACTTAAATTGAGATATCATCAGGTTCTATTGATTTTTCACCATTGGTTTTCTTTAAAACCTCGTCAACTACATTTTTACTAATGTGGTGGTAAAATAAAAAAATTTATTATTATCAACGATATTATAATCACTAAGGTCGATCGTATTTTAAGAAACCTCATTAAAAAAGTTTATCAAAATAACTCACCCACCTATGTTGAATATCTTCCTCTGAGAAAAAGATACCTTTTGATTTTCATCTTTAAACAACAATACTTTATTTTAAAAATAAATAAAAGATATGCCCAAAATATTAAGAAAGAATCACAAAATTTTCCAATAATTGTACAACAACATGAATCCTTTTTCCAATATTTTTTCCTCCTAAATACAATTATTGGAAGAATTTTTCAATAATTTTATTTATGGAAAAAAAAATTGAGCTATGCAAAGAGATTTGAAAGGAAAAAATTTTGATTACAAAAAACTTGAAATTAGAATCATAAAGCCCTCCTTTATGGTAATACAAAAGCCAAGTTCTAATCTAAGCAAATTCAAATCCAATCCAATTCTAATTGCACAAAAATATAATTTCTCCTAAATTTGCAAAACAAAACAACCTAACAAACAATCAGCTAAATGTAACCAATAATAATCAACAAAACCTCCTTTCTCCCAGGCTTGGATTTTGATGCAATCTAATACTAGAAGCTTCTCCTTATCTTTAAAAAATTCATGGATTCATTTGGAAAGTTCCCTATGCCTTTGGAAGCTTCTAGAATGCTCTAAGATACTTTACAATTGATATTTCCAAGTAAATTTATAAATACTAATTGCCATAAATTTGAGTATGGGGATCCTCTTGGATCAGAACTCTACTTTTAAGCGAAATAAAGGCAATAGAATGATGTTGATCTTAATTACATCCATGATTATTTTTTACCATGTTAGATGACATATCCAATTGATATGACAATACTGGGTGATGATCCTTTTTTATGACAAATTAATATTCAAATTTTTGTTAAACTCGTCTGCATGATGCCCAACCTTCTAATGAGGATGGCATGTCTTAATTGAATGTAGTAGGATTTTGGAACTTATAAGAAATAAGTACAAGATTTAAGGCATTATCTAGAATGCATTGAAATAATGGACTTTTCCTTGATTATTTGCTTAAAACAATGAGAACTTTTACTTTTAACTGCAAAATAGTGAACACAACAGGTGGCCACTTGTCTTCATCCCTACAAAAATTGTAATCAACTGCCAACAATGTAAATAACCTACATTGTGCCACATGAGGCCGTCAGAAGTTGTTGAGCAAAAAAGATAAGAAATACCACGGGTAATTCTTGTTAGGAGTCAAAACAAAGAAATGGGTGGAGAGGGGAGAGAAAACGAGAGAATAAGAGAGGCGGGAAGTTATCGGAGAAGAGGATTTTTTTTTAGTTCCATCCAATTCCAACTTTCACAAAACAACTTACTCTAAACTTCATAGTGACAAGAAAAATCAGCAATTTATTCAAATTCAAAGAAACAAAATTATAAAAATTAATCATTAGAAAGTAGCTAATAACACCTTGTTCTTAACAACTAGAGGAGAAAGTGGAGTAAATTATGTGTAGTCCCATTGATTCTCTCTGCATGAATTTCTCTTTCATCTTCTCTGACACTCCAATTTTTTAAATTTTAAAATATAATTTTGCAATGAAGTTCTTCCAAAATTCGATCTTCAAAATCCATCCTTCCAAGGTTAATTTTGCATATTTTCTAACAGACTCCTCAATATTAAACAAAGGAAAGGACCAAAACATAGTAATAGAGTACTAGTAGCAAAAAATGAAAGTATTAACTACAGGACAAATATGTTTATTCTTCCAAATAACGTTAGTAAAAGCAAATTAAAAGAAAACACATTAATTTGCATACTGAAGCTGGAAAATGCAAAAACCAAACCCAAAATTATGATTGTGCATAGTACATTAAAAAGATTCATATAAGATTCAAACCTTCAAAATCAACGGGAGGGTGGACATTTGAACTGGGGGGATATCTTTCAGCTCATTGTTAACTGCATGGAATGACTCATCTGCAGATTTGAAAATTAATCATTTCTTCTAAGTTGTATGGCAAACCTCCAATATCATCACAAGTAAACATATTAAAACTATTCCAAAACGTTAACGGGAAAAAAAACATTACTAATTGAGAATGAAATGGATGAAGCACATCAAGTGCGAAAATAAAATTGCCGATTTTAAAATTTCAGTCCAAAACTGTCTTAAAGAGTATTATGCCTCTTAAATATCTGAAAATGATAGGCACATAAACTTCTACTGTCACATGAACTTCTACGACCTAATGCTAATGAATACATCTTCAAAATTCATGCGAGTGTCAAGGAGCAAGTTACAAAAAACTTAACCAGCATCATGGTGGCTCCTATAATCATAAATTTCACAGCATCACATTTTTTTGGTAAATTCACCATAACATTCAAATAAACTAAGGCTTCATTTGAGAAAACGGTGAAGTTCCGCTCAGTTGGAGTGAACGCAGGCGCCTACAAAAAAAATTTTTTTGGTGAAGCAGTGGGAGATGAACATGTCCCGATGTTATTTGGCAAGAACGGCAAATTTTCATCATTTCATATCGTAGTTGGCCTCTTCCGGTTAGACAAACATGACTTTGCAATTTGTTGAACAATAACGCTACTTCAAACAAAGCCTAAGCAATTCCTAAATGCTAATAATATTTAACATTCTCAAAGAATTATCTCAAGTTTCATCGAAATTTTATGTTAAAGCGATCCCTAATATGAAGCCAAACTACTGCTAAAAATTTTGCATTGATTAAATAGACATATTTCAGTATTGACGGCAATCAAATTGATAAAATTAGTGGCAAAAGGTACCAGACGAAAAGTTGTAACTAGTGAAAAGGGAACAGCAGCCCAAAAAGTTTATTCTTTTCTCTAGCTTATAAATGACACAGATTTAGGATTCCAAGATGATGCCTAAGGATCAATAAATGAGGTAAGGGTGTTTGCAAGGTGAAAAAGGAGGGGCAAAACTAAAAAAGAAATAGAATTTGGACGTGACATAAAGGCTACAGCTGCTATCCTCACAGAAAACAATTGCAGCGCGGTGGGAGAACACAGGCAACTGTGTTTGGAAATTGCGGTGCGGCCGTTTTTAGGATAATTCTATCTAAAAGCAGGCCACGGCCAGCATTTTCTTCATGACAAATACTTTGTGTTCCCTTGCATGCTTCTCTTGCGTGCTTTTCTCATGTCTCTGCCCTAGCTCCCTTCTCTCTTGCTTCTCTCCGGTCTTCGGCTCCGGGCATAACTCTCATCTCCTTTCTCACTTCTCTTCGGACTCCGACTATGGTGGCATTTTCTCATCTCCTCTTACGGTATTCTCCACCCTATACGTTTGTTGTTATTTGCTCTTTACGGTTTGAAGTTTGCCCTGTGTGGCTTGCACTTTGCAATTTCTAGCTTAGCTCTATGTTGGAAGGATCCGATTTGAGGTTTGCCTTGTGTCATTTGCTATTTGATGTTTTTGATTTTATGCTCCTTTCGATTTCTAATCAATTGGGTCTGTGGCTTGCTTTTTGCATTTTGTGGACTTTGGAAGTAAATGTATTTGTTATTTGCCCAGTATGACTTGCTCAATAGGAGCTCTTTGCTCTAGTTTGTTTCCGGTTCAATTCGAGTAGACTTGGAATGGGGCTTTGCTATTCCACTTCTTGGTTTGGTTGGTCTTAGTGATTTGCCCTCTTTGTCGAATGTGGAGAAAGTTTGTTGGTGGTGAATTTGCTTTTTCTGTGAAATTTGGAGGTTTGGTTGCTAATTTTTGTATGTGGCCTCCGTGTATGCCCACTGAAATACTACTTTTGCTGCTTCATTTCTCAATTTGATTGGTCTTAACGGGTTGCTCTCTTTCTCAAATGTGGTGGGGGTCTGCTAGTTGTGGTCCGTTGGTGGTAAATTTGTTTTTTTTTTTTGTGACATGGTGGTATGCGTGCTGGTGTGTGTGGAGATGGAAGTAATGGTGTTGATGTGTTGATGGTGTGACGGTGGTGGTTTGTTGGTGTGGTGGTGCTTTTTTATTGGTGATGATGTGTGTAGGTGTAGATGATGTGGTGGTGATGGTGTGTTGGCATTGATGATGTGGTGGTGGTCTGTTGGCGTTGATGATGTGGTGGTGGTTTGTTAGTTGTTATTCGTTGGTAGTGAATTTGTTTTTTTTTTTTTTGAAACATGGTGGTATGGGTGGTGTGCGTGGAGATGGGAGTGGTGGCGTTGGTGTGTTGATGTGTGGTAGTGGTGGTTTGTTGGGTTGGTGCTGGTGGTGGTAATGTGGGCGTTGATGATGTGGTGTTGATGTATTGGTAATGATATGTCAATAGATTTCAGATGTTTATTTTATTTTATCATTTCGAGTTGTGACATTTTAAATGGGACAGTATGTTTTCTCTGTCACACATATATGTTGTAGTAGTCTTCATGGTTAAGACAAAATAAATTAGTTTGCCTGTCATGTGGGATAAAAAGGTGAAGCTAATATTTTATGATCTCTACCTTAAAGAGGTGGAATTGGAAAATAGGTCAACCACTTATTTTAACAATGAGGGCTAGTAGAATATAACAAAAAAGTTCAAGGAAAACACAATAATGGAATATGATAGAATGCAATCGAAAAACAAGTGGAATCAGCTAAAAAAGATTGGAAAATACGAAAAAAGTTGAAACGGGATCCACGAGCTTGGGTTGGGATCTGATAAAGCTAACCATCGATGCTTCAAAGAAATGGTGGATCAAAAGATTGGAGGTGAGAATTTATAAAATGTCCAGTCTTTCACCATTTTTTTTTGCAATTATATCAACATATCAATCATCCATTAATTTGTAGGTCGTGTCAAATGCCAAAAATTATTTTATTCAACAACATTGAACATGAGCTTGAAGAAAAGTTAGATTGTATGTTTGGTAGTTCAGGTCATAGGAGATCATGCATGGACCCCAAGTGAGAGAGGGTTCGCTAGAGGATCTGAGCATGTAGATGTCGAACAAATAGCTGACTCGAATGAATGCCCCAACCCTAGCCTCAATGAAGTTGAATCTATTACTCAATCCAACCGCCTTAAGGTTGAGAAAAAAAGGTACAATTTTCATTAGAAGCCAAATTTCACTGTTAATTATTTCATGCACCAAAGATTCTAGCATATCAAAAGAAACTTCTATTTAGCGAGTCATGCAAATTCGAGAAGAAACTCCAAAGATTTATGAGGACATATTGTTTTACTTGTTCTATTTGAAGTTGCATGAAAACCCGACAAGGAGAGAGTTATTTACGTCGATGACTCATAATCATAGGGTCAATTACTTAATTATTTCCATAACAGCTGATATGAATGAATTTTATTTTGTTTTTCAGACACATTGATTTTTATTGGAACATTATTTATGCTACTTTCATTATGCTTGAATTTTATTTGTTGGACCCTTTTTGTTTAATTTTTATGAGAACATTTTACAAACAGAACAACCTCTTCATTGTTTTTTGAACTTTTGGTACCATTTTTTTTTAATGCAAGTTCTGGCTAATTCGGTGTTATTTATATGTGGCAGCTGCATAAACAATTAATAACATGGATAGAGAAAGACACAAAAAAAACTTGCAGTTATATCATGCTTAATATATGATTATTATAACTTATATATTGTTTGCTCTCCTTGCATAACATCTGCATCATTGGTGATAAGTGGGTTAGAGACTTGTTTGCGGGTCAGCCAACAAGATTTAATTATATGTTTTGTATGACAGTTTGTATTTATTGATCTGTTAGAAGAACTGCATAAGTATCATGAACTTCATAGCTCCTCCATGATGATTTTGAAATAGTTGTTAGTCATAACCCTCTATATTTTATCACAGAATGAATCTAAGAGAGGAGTCATCGAGCTATTCCAGCATTTATCAAAAACAACAAGTAAATATTTCTCGATTGGGTTGAATTCTCTAATTAACTTATCATAAAAAATTATCAAACCTGAAGACCCCACGTTCCAAAGGACTCCCATAAAATTTCACAAGACCAACGTTATATGTCATATTTCAAGATAAATGCACGTGTTAATATTTTTCTAAATTTACTTAAACACGGTAACTCTAATACATTGGGTAAATGCTTTAGGATTGTATTAGAGCGATTGATGAAAAGTATTAAACAGTGAAAAGATTGCATACATCAGAGGATGTGGTTCACCCACACAAAATGTATGGTTGTATGTGATTTTAATATGCGTTACATTTTTTATGGTTGGATGGAATGTTGTGCACACAACGTCGCATATTCAAATTTATCATGCAAACTCAAAAAACAACTTTTTGTAGTCGCCCTCAAGTTTACTAGAAAATTAATAAATGAAAGGGTATTTTCAGTGCAATACAAATAACTATAATTATATCAGAAAAATATTATTTAATTGATGTTGGATATCCATTACAAAGAGGATTTCTCAAACATTTTCCCGATACCAAATACCACATTCCTAATTTTAAAAGAGCTAGCACTGTTTCCCAGGATAGAAAAAAGATGTTTAACAAGAGGCACTAATCCTTATGTTGTGCTAATAAAAGAGCATTTGGGATTTGAAAAAAAGATGAGTTATTTTGCGAGTTATAGCTCTCCACAACAACATTCGTCGTCATACATCACGTAATGACATTTATTTCAATTTGGCAGATAAAGATCATTCACATGACCGTGCTGAAGCATATGAATATCGTATAGGGTAATCAATATCGCAGCCTTAAAGTGATTTGCCCAAGTCTTTTACCCATGATGGGGAAAGAGTTGAGGAGATGATTGAGTTAAGAGAGCAAATTGTTGATGTCGAAATTAGCGGGTGAAAAGACTATGTTATTTTATATTTATTTATGTGCAATGTGTTGTGAAAATGTTTATTTTTTATTGTAGTGACGATTTGTTCAACGATGTTCATGTTGAATCCCAATTTGGTGCAACTTTTAATTTCAGTTCGTTCGCATATATTTTTTCCTACATGGATGGCCTCCTAGGTAACCGTGGTATAATAGTTTTTATTGCATATTTCATTTTTGGTTTGGAGGCATATGATGAGATATACGATCTTAGAAGTTCTTCTGGATGGCATATATATTGTCATGGGTTTTGACACGCATGAAATCGTCATCAAGAAAACCAAGGTCCCCTCGTTTTTCAGTCGTATGAAAGCAACCAAAATCTCCTTTCTTTAAGGTATTTTGTCTTCTTACAATGACAGATTATTCGACGGTTTTTCTTTATTTGTATAATGTGTTGGAAAAGTAACTGTTTTTTATTGTAATGACGCTATATGTAATGATGTTCATGTTGAATTTTAATTCAGTGCAAATAACTTTGTCATTCTTCTCCCACATGGATGGTCTTAAGGCAAGAGTAGGTTTAATATGGATTTTTTTTGTTGCCTTTTTTATTGGTTTTGAAGTCTATGATGACATGACCTTAGGGGTTCTTTTGGATGTCCTTCGTGGCCTATTTTATTAAACATGTGAGTTTTGTATTACATGGTTTAAAGACTACCAAGAACCTCTTATTTTTCAGTCAAATGGTTGTTGGGGTTTTTCTGGATGGTCTTTTGTGGTGATATGATTATATGACACATTCGAGCTCAATTTTATGTGGTTTAAAGGCAACCAAGACCCTTTTTTCTCTGGTCATATGAATGTTGGGGTTTTTTTGGAATCCTTTGTGGAGATATGCTTCTTTGACACATACGAGCTCGTGTTACGTGGTTTTAAGGCAACCAAGAACCTATTTTTTAAAGATCTATTGTCTTTTGTAGTGACAGATTATTCGTTGATTTACTCTGTGCTCTAAAACCTCACAACTTTATAAAATTTTACTTGTGTATTTTTATTTTTCTTTTTTTAGTAATGTTGCATCCAATGGTATGTGCTTTGTAGTTTTAAACCTTTAAAAAAGACGAACTGAAGTCTTTCGATGCCTCCAGAGATTGTACAGCTACTGTAGACTGCGGTGTTTTCTGTTTACTTCGCTACAAGAGCATAGCAATGGGAGAAAATTTTACAGGTGTCCAAGAAATAAATCAAAGAACTATGACTTCTTCAGGTGGGCGGATCAATTTGATGATTCACACTTCTAATAGTGATGAGCAGGGAAAGTTTCGTCAGAGAAGAGATTATCTCATGAAATTAATCATCTCATTTTAAATTCAAAGTTATGATAATATTAATCATTATTTTAATAGTTTTATTTTTAATTTTGATTGTTGTGCTACTGTTAGTGGAGTGTCAGTTTGTATTATGTAATAATCAATCTGGATATCTATTTTCATGTATGAAATGTGCAACTAAGACTAATTCTGTTATAAACATCATAATATTACAGGTGCAGAAAGGTTTTTTTATCAAAAATAGTTGTTGCACAATTACACAAAACAAACAGACACACAACTTCCCTGCAACAGCTTCCTGGCACAGCTGCTATGCAGTAGCTCCCAAACAGACCCTAACTCACAATCAAAAATAGGCAGAGCATGAATGCAGACGTATTTATAGGTGAGGATATTCGAGAAGCGGGAAGGAAAAAAGTGCAATAGAGGGATGAGAGAAAGCGAGAGAGTATGTGATTATAATTAAGTATACTAGCATCTATACTGCACAATCAAATATGTTTATTTTCCATTGCATCCTCCAACGGTTCTAAGCTTGTTAACAAGAGAGAGAGTAAATAACATGAGAAAGAATATAGCTCCTACAACAGGGATATCCTCCCTCACAGGTTTTTTATTCAAGCTCAGGCTTCAACAGCGAGGAAAAACTACAAGATATAAGATCCATCAAGCTTTGTGTACACCACTGAGCTCATGCTCATGACTCTGAATCTTAAAGCATGAAACTACACCATACAGCAAAAACATAGAAATCATATCAACAGCATTCAATTTACAAGCATGTAGTGACAGTTGTGGAGAGCTTGGAATCAACTTGGTGCCAATGATCTAATGACATAGTTAAAGACCTGCAATTCATTGTTAAAATGGAAAACCACATCTACATGTTAAACTGCCTAACTGATTTGGCCGATTCAAACTGATTGGAAAAAATTAGTCCAATTTACCAATAGAATAGGAAAATTGTATGCCCTTTTAAATCATATACTATGATTAAGGCAAGGAAATCACTACAAAGAGAGAGAATCTTGAAAGGCTAGATATTGGTATCAGTGTTTTAAATAGGACCGAATCAGCCGCATCAACTAGTTAAACCATGAATTGGCCCTCTATAAAGTTTAAAATTGTAAAAAAGTTGAATTAGCAAGAAGTGTATAAAAACTGCTCGAAACGGTGGATGAGCAGATGAACCGCTGACAGTATTTGAAAACCGGCCAATTCTTTGCATGATTAAAAATTAAATCAAAATAAAATGAAAGACAAATTTTAAATAATTCTAACTTACCCATGCTTTCTTCATCAAATCACAAAACATGCACACTTCAACCATTGAAGTTTTTTCAAAAGTCTTGATAGCAAACTATGTTTTTCATCTCATTCACTATGCAATAGAAGCTATTCTGGCATTAGAATTTTTCTTGTCAAACAGAAATTAACCCCAAAGTTGACATGAAAAAATAAATATTATTTTCCGTTTTCTTGTTTAAATAAATATTAAATATTTTTATATTTAATCAACACAATTCAACCAACGGTCAAATCAGAGTTTAATTCCGAACTTTAATCTCTGGTATGTTTTTGAAACTTAATTGGAAAACCATCCAAAACAAACCCTAATATCAATCAAAAACCAAAAAACTTCCTTTTAAAGCACAAAAAATTTATACATTTAACATAATTATCATTCACACACCATTTCTTAACCCATAGGAAAATCAAAGTTGGTTATATCCAACAATACCCACAATGATTATGACAGTCTTCCACCCTAAAAAAAAGAGAGAGAAAATCAACCATCTCAAAACAGAACAATTTAGATATCATTCATGTCATAAATTCAATCATAATATTGCCCAAATTGCTGGCAGCCACATTGTCACTGACCTGACACAAGCTGGTCTACACATGGAGACTCTTTGTTAAGTGAACATGAGCACTGAAAGAAAAACCACAAGAGGCAAACAATGATATCAATGGAGCTCTCTTTCAGTGAACTAGGGCACAACCGACTTACGGAGATAAATCTAAATATCAGCAGCAGCATCATTTCTCAAGCATGAATGGTGTCTAGAGACTTAGAAGAATAAGGATGTATAAGAGAGGGGATAGAACTTGAGGCAATCAACTAAGCTTAAAGCTAACTTAGAACAATAAGGAAGTCTAACTTACTAAATACAGCTGAAGGAAAACAAGAAGTTTGCAGACCTAAGCATTCCATCCACAAGCTAAGCTCTATCATCATCTTCTGAACCAATCAAGACCCACAGTTGATCCAAAACTTTTAGACAGACAAACTTTTCTGACAACTTGCAGTTGCCTCAAAAAATACCGTTACCTATGTTTGCCAAAGCTTTATTTGCTCCACTTCCATTTTGAACTCCGCTAATCACTTTCATTTCACTTCCCTTTATATTTACTTAAAGATGAAAAATGTAGTGTCATGTGATCTAATGGCCAATGAGTTTCAGAATGGAAATACTGATGAATTGTTATAAGCATCGGCCATATTAGTTGATTCTATGCTACCAAGTAAACAGGAAGTTTTAAAGCATGTGATGATTTTCATTTTCATGATTATTAGGTGAAGCTTTTAAACTTCCGATTTTAGTAGGGCTTCATGTCTCACCTTATATCATCACTGGCCTAGCACATCTAAGTGTTCGCCGTCATTTAAAAAAAGGAAAACTTGTTAACCTTATGTAAATTTTGCCTTTAATGACAATTAGTGGTAAATGGAAAATTAAGTCTTATAAAACGCATCAAGAAGACCAAGTGTTCAAAACGGCCAAAGCACACAACCAAGAGAACATTGAACAATTACTAGAAACAAAAGCGACGAGCACCAATAAGCATAAATGACGTGCAAATAATCCTAAGAATATCAATGAACGTACTTTAAATTCAACTCTAAGCCTCCTAGCAAAACATTTGTAAACAATATAACAATAAGACAACCCTTGAGTATCTCTACTCATTTAAATTGCCTTTAGGTATTCAAGTTCGGGTATGCTAAAGGCAAGTCAGTTTATTGTAGGTGGCAAAACAATAAATAACATTTTATATTATTATAATATTAAAAAGATAGAATGATTGGAAAGAAATAAATGCCATGTGATAAACTTCCCAGAACATTGACAAACCACACTAACAAATTGTATCCGAAAATCAATAACTTGGCAAATAGAAGAAATAAAACAAGTAAAATAAATCAAATCATAAAAGGAAAAAAAAAAGTAATAAATAAGCATGGTACTTACTACTAAGACTGGTGAAATGTAAATTTCGCTGTACAGTGCATATGTTGTCCCTAACAAGAAAAGAGGCAAAAGCATGCATCAATATCCACAATAAACACTCCTAAGCTAACTGCAGAAATTAATATTAACCATATATAGGAGCATCCTGCAGCTTCTTGGAAGCTAAGAGCCAATTCTGTAGAAATATCTGGATCTCTCCAAGAAATAATTGTATCTGAAAATGCAAAGGACAAAAAGAACGTCAAATACTACAAAACAATAATATTATTAGAAAAATGCTTAACACCACCACGGGTGATACGTGTGTGCACCTTCTTGTCTTCGATAAATTTCATCTGAAGAAATACGGTGCACAAGTAACGTGTCGTTATCTTCTTCATCAATGACAATCAAACCAAGTTGATCCTCAGATCTCTGAAATCATATCATAGAATTATATCATGGACAAAAAAAAGCCAAAGGGTAGTAAAATAACACATTGGAAAAGTCAAATAAATTTATCCATTGGCAGTTGCCTCATAAAATTAGGTTCAATCCTTTCTAAGAACTTCATCAGACCTTGTAAAGAGTATTGAAGCATCCTCACTTTCATTACAAAAATTTTACAACTGGACAGCAACATTAGATTTCTACAAAATATAACCATGAATCCTTATTTATGAACTTTTTTGAACCACTTCAACTGTGACAACAAATTGGTACAGCCACTCACGTTTCCCACAATTCATGCATGCAACATAAAGTGAAACATAACTAATTAACAAAATACTTTATTTAAGCTATATCTATATACAATAAAAGGCCTCAAACTGAAAACAGTACAATATTTGCAAACCAAGGTCTTCTAAATTAATGCCTAAGCATTGACCCACTAGATAATGAACCCAATGATAAGACAAAAACAGACCAGTAAAAGTACTTAACAAGCCACTAACCCAAAAAAGAAATAAGAAAACCAAATACGAAGAGGAAAATATAGCTTTTAAACTTCCGATTTAAGAGAGCATGATGATATCAAGACAGCAAAGTCGAGCAATCCCGGCACCACATGTATCAGGAAAACCAAACCTTTAACTTCTTTTAATCAATGAGTTTGCCATTTGTTAATCATATTTAATCCATGATTTATTATATTTTTCTTCATTCTATATGTTCTTCATCTTTAGAGAGAGAAAGAGCAAGAGGGAGGGCGCATGTTTTAAAATGTTAGTCTTTCTTCTTTTGGGGTGTGAATGAAGGACACCATGCAAATTAAGCAAAACCTTACAAGTTGTCTCACTGTGGATGGCTGGTTTTCAAAATTTCTTCCTTTTATCTTTGGAGGATGAGGAAAAGATTTAGAGACACCCGGCTAATACCTTCATATGGTGTGAAAGATGCCAGGCTGACTTATCAATATCATTTAAATCATTATGACCATTGCATTCATCATATATGGTATAAAAACGTGCACATGTGATTCTTATTTATGCTTCTAAGAGAATGAAAATGTACTTTTTTAAGACTATAGCTTAGGCAATTCTGATTTGCAAATGCTGACTTGAACAGTAGTGCTTACTGGAGATTTGTCCAAGTTTATATTAAATAGATTCAGCAATAACATAGAAAAAACTAAAGATGTATTATGTCAAGTTTATGCACAAAATTTCATGTTGAAATCCGATAAATGTATCTTAGATGCAAGTATCTTCTTTGAACAGATAAACAATTTAGCTATGATGTCAAGCAAATCTGCATCTGAATGCCTTCATGATGCAGTTTCACAAAAATTAAATGCGACATCAATCTAATGTAGAAAAGGCATACGAGAATCCATCATAAAATTTAAAGGTAAAAGTCTAACACCGCCTTATTATCCAATGTATTAGAAGAATCTACATGAAATCAAATGAACAAAAAGAAGATAACTCTATAATAGATAAGGATACTTAAAAAGGAAGTCCAAAAATTACATCAAGCTTAAAGTAAAAATTATTACTGCTAAAAAATACCAAAATACCGCATAATATACTAATTTAATGTCATTTAATCAACAAGTCACTCCACAAAAGATCCTACACTTTGTGGAAAAGGTAATACAACACAGAAAATGGAAATAAGGGCAAATCATTTACTCATTTCCAAGACAAATTTCCCAACATACAAATATATAATTTGCTCTCACAAATATTGATAAGAAATTGGAATTCGAACCATATAGCAATTCTCAAACATATCAATTAAATAATATGCCCATTCAGAGGGAAATATTAAACATGTATACAACAACACCAAAACGCTATTCATGAAAGCAAACGAGAAAAATCAAAACAGCAATGCTTAGATCAGTGAAATATTATGTTTAAGGCTTGTTTGGGATCTTTTTTTTTTCTTTTTCTTTTTTTTTTTTTTTGGTTTCTAGTTTAAAAACATATTTTTAAATGCATTATTTGCATGTATTTATTTCATAATTTCAAATATAAATTAATTTATTTTTAAAAACACTAGAAACATCCAAAATTTATTTTGAGTGTTTTAAAAAAAACAATTAAACATATTATAACATACCAAAACGTGATTTATTGCATAAACAAAGCAAATGAAAAAAATAATAATAATAACAAAAATCAAAAGTGATCCCAATCAGCTGCTTGGTGTTTTTAGTATTTTTAAAAGCATGTTGATTTGTTTTTAAAATCAAAAAATTAAAAATATATAAAAATTATACCAACTAAATATATTTTTGAAAAAAAAAAATAATAACAAAAGTGATGCAAAACAAGCCATTAGTTAGTGCAATAAAATCAAGAATACTTGAGAGCAATGAAAACAAGAATGGCCACTGAACTGAAAAACAGATTGCAAACCAAGCAATTCTGAGGATGGTACATGAAACCAACAAATAATAGGAATACAAATATTTTCAGCAAAATAACTTGCGATAGTGAGGCAAAGCAAAGAATTTCTTGACTCGGCCTTAATTTGCAATAAGAATTATTATAACCAAAGGTGAACTAAAAATTAAGAAAAACATAACGAAATATGTTATAAAATAAGTGATTCATACCTCCAAATAATCCACGGTGACATGCCCAGTTCCTTGGTCATCCCATTTCCCCTGCTCGTTCAGGTGATACACCTTAACACGCTGAAATAATTCAAAGTCAGATAATCTTTCCTAAATTAATTACAAATAAGGCATTTAGTAAAATTAACTCAGGGATCTAGTTAAAATAAGCTTACAAATATCAAATAATATCAATATTATATCACAGAATGGGGAGAACAAACATAATAGTATAAAGTCACATATGTATATATGCAACTACAAACCAATAGCACCAATTTGATGAAAAGCATTTAAATAAATAACATACTTAAGTGACCACCAACAGTAGAGATATTAATCATTACGAGTGTCTAATGTGCTTCCTAAGAGAAGGGAAGCAAAAAAAATCTGTGGGATGGAAAATACTCCGTTGGCAATATTAAAATGCTAAAAGAAGGATAAAGAGAAAAAATACTAGCGAACCTCTACAACTTTGCTAAAATCAAGTGATATTGGGTGCACTATAGAGGGAAAATAAAAAACTTGTATAACTATAAATGATAAACCTCACCAACCATCGTCCCCTCACCTTCAAGGCTATCATCTAGAACTTTTCTATCCACTTCATTTCACAAAGCAAGAACTAAAGTTGATCAGACATTCCTCAAAGAGCTACTTCAAAGAAAAGAACATGCACACACAATCCTGCCAAGAAATAACCCACCATTTTCTCAACTATGAGTTACCTATCAGAAATTCACTTATCAATCGTCATATGCATGTGCTAAAACAAATAAATCATACCTACACTGGCCAAAGATACACAAATATTTTAAATTAATTGGGACGATTACATATATAACATCTAAAACTTAACTATTTACAAAACCAATGCCCTCTTGCACTCATTTTACAGATTCTCCTCAAATATCAATATTCATGAAAAAATCTCAACCCATATTTTTCGTTTTTATCAAAATTTGTATGGTTAATGCATACTATATTTATGTTATTGCTATGTTATTTTTATCTTAATTTGTGTTTTTTTATGTTTTATGTGGGTGTTTTAGTGTTTAAAGTAGTATACAGATGATTGGGCAACTTGGGCAGCCAATGAGTTGAAATAGACTACCAAAGGACTGCTCAGGTGCTCCCTTTTCAAGTTCAGGCATCTCCTTGCCAGTCTTAGGCGCCTAAGCGCCTTAATTTGGACTCCCAGGTGCCTGAAGACAGAGAGCCCAGAGAGCCAACCTGGGCGTCCGAAGAAAAAGAAACAGGTGCCTAAATCAGTGTTTTCACAATTGTTTCGCGCCATTTCACACATGAGGAGTTAAGTTGGCCTCATACAAAGCAGGGAGGGACAAGATTTTCAATAAAAAATACATCCGGAGAAAGAAGGAGAAGGCAGAAATGAGAAGACTCTATAACTGTGAGATAGATAGTGAGGCTTTGAAAAGGAAGTAAGAAAGTGTATATCTTTTGATGAAGGGATTGTGCTTAATGTATTGAGTGTGTATAAGAGAGAAGATGAGAGTGGAGATCATTGTATAAGAGAAAAGATTCAGTGGAGAGAAACAATTTCTCTTCCTGGTGAAATTGTTCTTTGGTAAACTTTTTTTACTTTACTGTTTCAATGAAATCTTTTTGTCATATTCGCTAGCTAAGTATTTTTTATACTCTTGTCTGTTGGATATGTGATGTATCACCTTCTCTACATGAGTGTTTTCTAGACTATTTAAGAATTTGTGAAAAATTGATGTGTTATCTTTTTTATCTTCCTTGACTTTCAATCTGACCAATTGAAATGTTAAAACCCCTCATGATCTAGAACCTTTGACCGTTGATTAGAAGAACGAGTAGCACAGTACACAATCACACAGTGGAATAGGCATATTGTTAATAACATATTGCACCCTAAATAGGAGACTAAAGAATTCTTGTGAGACATTGTATGCTTAAGTCTCCTTAATTGTAATAAGAGTTTTCAATGCTTCCTATGATCTCGACAAAGAATAAGAAGGATTTGTCTCTGGTTGTCAATAATAAAGTGGGGAAATTCATAGAATGAATATTGAAGATTCACAAAATCAGGAGTATAATATTTCATATAATCAAAACTCAAAAAATTATACTTAGGTTTATAAATTTTAGGACTTAGACACCTTCAAATCATTGAACTTTTCAAGCTAGACTTAGGGGTTTAGAAAACTAGAAATTACAATCTGTTAGAAAATTTAACAAGTTCCCTGTAGGATCGATACATAAACAAAAATCCGTATACAACTTGATCGACACATATATTTGTGTGATTGTCGGTGTCTCGCAGCATTTTTGGTGTATCATTTGGTCATGTGACGCATAAATACACAAGTTTGGCTGTTCAAAAAATGTCATAGGTGTTAGACTAATATTTTGAATGATATGTATGTGATTCCCCCAGATTGATCTATTGCGATCATAAAGTTGATTTCTTATCAAGACATCGAAATTTATATGGTAGTAAAATATGAATTTTATAAGGTCTTGCTTCTTAAAAGAGGGCATACTAATTCTGTAAATTTAAGTTGATGTGCATACTACATAGATTCAATAGCATTCCATATTACATTATCATTTTTTATCTATACAAAAACACGATACTATTACTTACATTTGGTGCTTAAAAAAATAGACAATAGTGATTAGTGGCGTTAAAACTTATATCTACGAGTTTAACCGACATAAAAGGTTTCTTATTTCATAATATATGTATCAAGAAACATTCTTATTTGCAATATGAACAGCAAAAGTCTCATTAAGGTGCCCTTTGTAGAATTAAAATAAGAGGATAAAACCACAAAACCAATCCAACCACTAAATGCAGCAACCTTTAAGACAAGCATATAATTTCCCAAATCATAGGAACAAAAATTGATGTTATCCAAATATGTTAAGGAAACAAGGGTGGCAATGGAGGGGTTTTTGCACATGCTTAAAGAAATGCCTTTTGATGCAAAAGGCTCTCAACAAAAATTGGGTAAAATATATTACCATTTTACCTTGTTAACCACACAATTATAATAAAAAAAGTTACATTCTCAAAAACTCTATATACTATAGAAATTATATCTAAACTTAGGACACAGATACTTTTTAATAGTGCACAATAGCAAATGGGACATGACATAGCAAGGCTCACCATAAACTTATAGACACATAATTTCATTTTAATGGTCTGGTTTACAATAAGTATAATAGCGCTTTGACTTGGAGAGACAACTATCATGACATTATTGATCCATGTTTGTTAAATGATATAAGCAATGCTAATAAGCACTTAATAGTAAAATTGGATGATGGACTAGATGAACATGATGAGAGATAGTGGTTTCAATGAAAAAACTATAACATTCAAGATTGATTAGGAGAAAAAAAATGGAATCTTTGACTAGGCCTAGCACACTTACAGAAGAGCATGAAATTTATAAAATTGATTATCAAGTTTATGATTTAAAAAAAATAATGATAGAGGTGAATCTAATCTGTTAGGATGATCATAATTCTATAGATAAGTGGTTAAATTTTATGAATATAGGGTTACAAACAAATTTTTCATTATGATCAGACCGTGAGTTCTGAAGTTTAACATCTTGTTCTAACATGAAGTAGTCAATAATCATGACATATCTATTTTAAAAACTAACTATTTTAGTATTTCATGAGTCTTTCTATTTCAATATGATCATCTTGTGTGAATCATAATATATGTTAAAGCAATATCATGATCTACTTTTAAGGCAATTCTTGTGTTTTTTTTTTTTTTTTTGATGATGTTACTCCTCTTCCATTATTGAGTTCCCAATTGGTTACCCATGCTTTCTCCATTTTTTGCTCTATTATTACAATATTACACATCATGCTATACACTATGGCTCCAAGAGACGCGTCACAGTATGCCATTTTCTATTAACAAGCATAATCACACCAGCATATCCATTGAAATTTCATTTTTTTGCGGATTATTATCAATTTCACATCCAATACTATTGCAATGCTCATATATTTTATTGTTCTATCAATTCTATTTCACTTGTCAAATTATAAACATGAAATTTCATCTAGGCAATGTCTAGTTAAAATTGGTTGTCACTCTTTTTAGCAAGGTCATAAGATAGTTTCCAAAGAGCTTCAATGAAATTTCAAATGTTAACAGTCCTGAAAAGCATTTTATACAATTTAAAGAGGTTTCCCTTCCGTTTTTTGGGACTTCAACTAAATTTTTAATTTTGCATTATCATTATTCCCAAAACTGTAGTCTATTATGATGAAATAATTAGCCCATCAATTTTTATAGCATGCAAGAGTTTACTCCCACCAACTTGAAATCAATTGGATGATTTGCATCCTTATGCTTTTTCATGGTTTCCTGTGATACTAAATGTATTCAGCAAACAAAATCCATGTCAAGTACAAATGTCAGTTGTCAAGAATCTCCTCTGGATATTAATCTCTAGTGATTGCCCGTGTCATGACAATTCAAGTTACAAAATATATAGTGAACCACTGCTGTGTCAAAACTGAAAGAAAATTAATTATGCTTGTCCCAAAGTCGAGCTTGCTAATATCATAAATGTCATCATGGGATAACAAAGAGCAGGAAAGTTCAAAGACTGCTGAATCACTGTAATTTTCCATAAAATACGCAAAAAACAGTTGACATAATTCAAAACTTTAATGAAAAGCAGATAAAAGCTAAAGCTGACACATTTGGGCAAAAAGCCATCAAACATATCAAAACAATAAATATGATCCAGTACTCGTCATATCAGCCTTCCCAGCAGTAATTGTTACTTTGAACTTTACAATTATGATGTCCATTTTGCAGAATAAAGTCTACTAACGGACATAAATTAGTGGGTATGAAATTAGACTGCAAGTAAGCGCCTACTTATTCAGTTAAATTGGAAGCAAAACTGGCAATAAGCACAAATCAACTAGCACAAAGAACAGTGCACGAAACAATACATACTATATAAACAACAGCAAAGCGCACCCTATCTAAAGTGAGAGTAACAGAAGTTCAGAATCTAGGGCATCACAAAAAATAACTATGACTTGGCACAAAGGAACAAAAAAAAAGCAAAAAACCTAAAGCACCTACCTGCATGGAATTCGCAGAGCTAGCTGTCTTCGCCTGCGCACCCATGAACAACCACCAAAAACAACGCCCGCCGGAAAAAAAGAAAAACGAAGGAAAAGCGAAGAAATCGTTGTTCGCAGTAAGTCTATATCAGAATTCAGAGACGAATTGGCGTATAAGCAGAGAGGTTGAAGCCCGCGAGATCAGTAGAGAACCCTAACAAGAATTAAATTCGGCGTAGCCCTGTTCCTCCGCGCTTTGGCTCCGTCGAAAAAAAGACCCCGTGGGAATAAGCCAGGAAGGACGGAGTAACGCCAAAGGCCCCGGCACAGGCCTTATATTACGGTATTGCCCATTGATTTTGCTGTATGAACACATCAAGTGATACGAAACTCATATCAAGTAAAAAATTAAAAAAAAGGCAATATTTCATATTTACTTACATTTAATGAAATACAAGTAAGAATTCATTCATCATTTTAGTTGTTATTTTTAAATTTTTAAAAATTTAAAATTTTATTTTTAGGACATTATAATTTTTTGGGAAATTTATATACAAACCTCACAATTTATATGTGTGATATATCTAACTCCAAAACTTTGATATTTACATTTATGCTACTTCAGTATTATAGATTGATGCTTGGAAAAAGTGTTTCATTAAAAAAAAACTAATAATAGTGGTATTGTTTACGTGATGTTAAAGGTTTGAGTGATATATCTGTAAATATCAAAGTTTAGGTATCTCATATATAAATATATAAGAATTAAATAATATGTTTGTAAATGCTCCTAGTGTTTTCTATGAACTTTTAAATAATAATACTCATTTTTAGCTGAAAAATTAAAGGATTTACATACATAACTAATGTGTATTAGTGTGTATTATAGTTAAATTTTGATATTTACTCATAATGTATGTCGGAAGATCCACAACAGTAGATTGATTATTTAGTATCTTAGTGTTAAACGAAAACCCAACACACATTAAGGTAATTAAGGAAAAGTGGCAGGACAAGGCACCTTGATTTTTATGTGGAAAACCTTGAAAAAGGGAAAAGACCATTGAGCCTAGCCCGGTTGAAATGATTCACTATGTAATCTTGAATACATAGTTCTACTCTTCTCTTAAATTAGAGAAAATGGAGCTACAAAAAGATCATTATAAATATATAACAGTAGCTCATTGATAATAGCTGTAATTTGAATGTAATGAAGGAAGTTCTCAATGACAGTATGTTGTGAGGGTTATAGTTGATTGTTATGGAGGCAGTAGTCAGCCGTGAATATTGTAGATGATAGTTGTAGTGTCAGTTGTTGTATAGGTCGTAAATAAAAGCTAAGATAGTAGTTGTTCATGTGGGTCATAGATGTTTACTTCAAAAGCGTTTGTTGTCTATAGAGGTCGTAGTAGGAAGCAGCGAGTGAGCCATGTACGCAACAGTTGATCGCACGGGTCGTAATGATGAGTTGTGATGACATCCGTAGGGTGCAAGGGCTAAATTCAGGAGGTGCACGAACTGTGAATCATGTAGGCTCTAGTTGGTCACGTAGGTCTTAGTTGTGTGTTGTGACGACATTCATAGGTTGTGGGGGTCAGAGTCAGGTGTTACACGAGCTATGAACCACATAAGTCGTATTTGATCACGTAGGTCATAGTAGTGAGATGTAATGATGTTCGTAGGTCATAGAGGTAAGAGTCAGGAGTTGCACTTGCTATAAGCCTCGTAGGCAGTAATGGTGAGCTATGAAGACGTCTGTAGGCCACAGAGACAAGAGTTCGTAGTTGCATAAGTAGTGCCTCATATAGGTCATAATTGGTCACATAGGCTATAGTGGCGAGTTGTGATGTCATATGTGGGCCACAGGGGCAAAAGTTTGGAACTACATGAACTGCGGACCATGTAGACTGTAGTCGATCATGTATGTCATATTAGTGAGTAGTGATGATGTCCGTAGGTTATAAGGGCTAGAGTTGGGAGCTGCACAAGATGTGGACCACATAGGTCGTAGTTGGTTACGCATGTCGTAGTGGTGAGCTGAGATGAAGTCTGTAGACTATAGGGTTGGAGTTGAGAGCTGCATGAGATATGAACAATGTATAGCGTAGTTGGTCACGTAAGCTATGGTGGTGAGTTGTGATGGCATTTGTAAGTCATAGAGACCAAAGTCTGGAGTTGCATGAGCTGTGGACAATGTAGGTTATAGGTTGTCACGTATGCCACAGTGGCGATTTCAATGATGTTTGTAAGACGCATGAGCTAAAGCTAGAAGCTACACAGAGAGAGCTTTAAGAGTTTGGAGAAAGTCACCTTCTTCGAGGTGTTTTGTTACACCATTTTCGGGAGGTATCATTACACCGTAAGTAGGGTGCATTGTTACTTTGCAATGTATGTTGGGGTTCCGCAGTGCACGTTTTGAGTTCACACAGGACTTCGCTGCAAGAAGCAGTAGCAACCGATGATGGTTGATGGTGGTGGCTGCAAAGGCGGTGTGGGCAAGACTTGGTCGGATATGGTGACGGTTAGAGTTGATCAGAGGGCGGCGCCGACTATAGTTGATCGGAGTTGTCATGTGGTTGCGGCAGTGGCCGATGATTTTATATAGTAATCCTCATTTTTTTTGCTTAAAAATTAAATAACATACATACATGCACATAACTACTGTGTATTAGCATATCTTATAGTTAAAATTTGACATTTACTTAAATATCAAAGTGTGAGTATTCAATATGTAAATACATAAAAGTTTTGTGCTATCAAAATAAAACCTCCAAAAAAATAATGCTTTACCTTTCTTCTGCTCTTTTAATGATGAATATTGTGGAGCTATAAGGAGCTCAGTGTTTTATTTTAAGTGATCTTTAATTTTATAAGCATTGAATAATTGTTTCTCTTAGCTAAATCTTATTTTGTTAATTCAAATTTGTATCTTGTGTTGCCATTCTAATTTTTATTTATGCATGTTGAGTTCTCTCACATTTTGTGTGCTACACTTATTTCATTACAAAATTAATATTTGCTTTTAAGTTCTCTACAGAAACAATATTTATGGGATTTGAGAAGTATTAGAACTTGATTTTAAATGAAATTAAATGTCCTTTTGTTCTCACACAATGTTACATCATATCTCTCCTAATCCTCAAATCATGACTCCATCAACTTATTCGTTCTGTCTTTGTTTCCCTATTCTCAATTTTATTTCTCTCTAATGAACTCTCTTAAATTCTAAGATTTTCTTTTTAATCTCTCTTCAACGTCAAAAAATTTACGATATTACTTTTTCATTAGACTCTACCATTTTGGCACTCATAATTTTTATTAAACAACAAATGTGTGCACAAATAGCTTCTAAGAAAAATAATCAAAGCACTTTGATGTAAACTATTATTTATAACATAGTGCATTTATATGCAATAACCACTAGCAGTACAAATCTATCTACATCAATATGTATTATTGTAACAATTATCCAATAAAGCAAAAGAGATTCATTGTGACTACAAACTCTCATCTATGTATATAGCATAAAAATAGTGATAAATTTGTTGCCTCTATTTAATCATCAAAATCTTACATCAATTCAATTTTATTTTATGATATAAATTATATTTACTTCAACATGATTTTATCTACTATTTCATTTTTTCTATGTATTCTATAAATAATATGCATTAGTAGCTTGATTTTCACCGTATATTGATGATCCTTCTTTTTATATATATTCTTCATGTGCTATTGAATTTATTTTTTAAGGCTGAAATTCAATTATGACCCTCTTTCAAGACTACACCATTATTGACATTATACTTATTGTTTGCAAATTGGCTGCAATTCAAATATAAAGAACCAATTATTTTTAACCATGTGAATTCTATTAAATCATTATGGAACCATATCATTACATAAATGTGTCAACATACTATGACAACAATTCTCATTATGACCAGTTTTTTATAATATTTATGGTCTTAATATATTTTTATTTTTTAAGCAAGTTAAGGCTTTATGTGATGATTCCTCTAGGTATTATTTTAAAATTTGAAGAGTTTTATGTTAGTGGGAATCACTAAGATATTTGGAACAAACAATCTATGCCATTGATTGATATAAATATCATCATATAAATTATTGCCTTAAACAACACCATATTCTTTCTTAAGATGACCATTAAACTTATGAGATACAAATTGTTGGACAAGTTGTTATGTGTGTTTGTGATTATTTTGATAGGTTTGTGACCTAACAATCTAGTTGGCTACACTAAATTGAATTTTGGTGTGCTTTGACTTGTGAAATCACTAATATTTATATGCACATGGAATTGACAAAATAATTAAACCATAATTGATTTAGGGCTTCACTCAGGCTAGTAGAATTAAATTTCTACTTGATGTTGAAAAGTAAAAAAATTAGCGATTTCAATTAGGATTTAAAGGACCTAAACTAGAAAAATATTGTTTAATTTTAACTTGAAGATCAAGAGATTTAATGGGTTAAATTAATCAATATAAAGCTTATTTAAGACCAAGTTATTTATTGATGTGTAAAAGTATGTTGTTCCTATCTTAGTTAGATAAACAAACACTTATAAAATTGAAATTAACCAAAAGCTAACTTTGGTCAACATTGAAGTGTAGGGGGGGGGGGGGGGGGGGGGGGGGAATATTTTGTATATTTTATTTATTTTAAAAAAAATAACACGTGATAAATATTTTTTTTTCAAATAACTAAATAATAAATTTATTATGCATAAATAGCCTAAAATAAGTCACAATCAATTAATTTTATCATTTACCTTTGACAACCAATTATAATGAGTTTATCATCAATAATCAAAAGTAATGCAAGATTAAAATCATAACATTCTTAATCATATTAGAAAGTGGTAAGAGCCAGTAAAGTAATGAGAGTAGTGAAAAAAAAGTAAGTAGTAACAAAATACAAAATAATTTATCATGGTTTGACACCTATGCATATGTTCATATCTCAAGTCCTTCATGAGTCTCAAAAATTTAATGTTTTACATTATTAAGTTTATGTTTTATTTCATGATTATGATGATTGTATCATTTTCAAAGCTATATTTATTTTGATTTGCAATATATATAGGTTATTAGAAAATTTAGAGAGCAAAATAGATGAAACAAATGCAAAAATGTTGAAGTGCAGAAGGGCAGAGAATCTATGCCACAAAGCTGTGCACTGTCGGTCGCCAAATTGAGAAATTATAGTTTTTTTAATATATATATATATATATACATAATATAATAAAATTTGGAAACTATTATTTTGATTTTGAAAAAATGAGA